AGACATCAAAGAACCATTTCCAGACCTTGTCTAATATGACACCTTGCCTTACATGACCCCTGATAATGATGGGATTCAGAGATGACACATATATCATTTCCCAATATTAGAATGTAAGCAGTTTATTCTTATGATTGTTCATCTGAGTTTACTTTTTTTACGTTTCTCTTACCTCCATTGTTTGAGCTCCAAAGTTCTTACATGGCTCTGGTATTTTTTCAGGAATGTTTGGAAGTCCTCTATTTCATTAAGTATCCATTTTTCCCCCTGTAGGATTACACTGAGTTTTCCTGGATAAGTTGTTCTTGGCTGTAAGCCTGTATTCTTTGCCATCTGGAATATTGTATTCCAAAACTCTCTCCTTCTTTATGAAGTGGCATGGCTGCTGAATCATGCATAATTCTTACTGAGGATCCTTGGTACTTGAATTATTTCTTTCTGGTTGCTTGCAGTATTTGCTGTAAGAAATGATGAGCAAGCAGACTTCAGAAAAACCTGGAAAGACTTATATGGACTGATGCTGAGTGAAGTGAGCAGAACCAGGAGAATATTGTACACAGTAACAGCAGCATTGTTTGAGGACCAACTTTGGTAGACTTAACTCTTCTCAGCGATGCAAGAATTTAAGACAATTCCAAAAGACTCATGATGGAAAATGCTAGCCATGTCTAGAAAAAGAACTATGAAGTCTGAATGCAGATCAAAACATACCATTTGCTCTCTCTCTCCCTCTTTCTTTTTGTTTGTTTCTTCTTTCTTGTGGTTCTTCCCGTTGGTTCTAATTCCTCTTTGCAACATGACTAATACAAAAATATGTGTAACAGGAATGTATATGTACAGCCTATATCAGATTGTACACCATCTTAGGGAAGGAGAATGGGAGGGAGGGGTAGTAAATTTAAAACTCAAAAGCTTAAGGAAGTGAATGTTGAAAACTAAAAATACATTAATTATACAAAAAATAAAATTTTTTAAAATTTAAAAAAAGAAAAGTAAAAGCAATTCCTCTTGTAATCTATATGTTAGATTAAGAATTGCACCAAAAAATTGGGGAGAATGAATGGGTTAAGATAAACTTCCAAGTGTTGTCAATATTTAAGAGGAATTTTCACCTAAAAGTCTTATCAACTCTGGGCAAGAGTTTTCTGTGTTGTGGAATTCCTACTGAATGACTGAGAATCTTTGCACAAAATAAGGGTGTGATTTCCAAACCTGTTTCATCTAAGGATATACATTTATATATGTACTAATTTGGAGGTTTGTGAACTACCACATTCTATCTATGTGGAATTCCAAAATGTAATTATTCTCTTAATTTCTAGTGATATATTTAAGGATAGAGGAAAGAAAAGATCCTGGGTAAATTTTTTTAAAGGCCTGGTAAACTTTGTTATCATGATAAGGCTAATTTAATTGGGTATGTTCTTCTTGACTTATAAAAACTGAATCTCCTCCCCATTACAAACACCTTTTTCACTACAGTCAGGTGGTGACTAGGAATTTCATTTGTTATACTACTTTAAGAATTTATTTATTTTGCCTAAAGACATTTTGCAGCAACTTAGTTTTGATAAATGCCAATTTTAAAGATTTATTTTTGCTTTAAGATTGAAAAGAGAAATAAGTATCATTTTAGAGCTTTTCAACTAACTTACTTCATAAAAGTTTAGTGATTATTCCTTTTAACAGCAAGATAAATTTTAGCTGTTTTTAAGAAAGGGAAAGACTTATAAAGAAATGTTTTGTAAAAATCTTTTATGTGATTTTTGGAAAGCCTACTAAATTTTCATCTGTAAGCTAATTTATTACTAAATTACTGTAATGAGCTGTAAGTGGGAGAGATCTTGCTGTTTAATCTGAATTTGTAGTCATTCCACGGCCCAAGCAAGAGTTAATTTAGTATTTAAATTTATCATGTGTTTAAGATTCAATTCCTTAAGTACCTCATTCTTTCAGAATGATGAGTATATTTAGAGAAAGATAAACAAGTTTGTGAAACAAAGATGTAGATCTATGAAGTTGGGCAGTTAAAGTCAGGAATTCTTTTTGTTTTAAGGAATAGGATTTTAGTACAGACAGTTATGTTAGTGAAGAGTAGTAACTTATGAGCTATGTTGTATTATCCTTATGGAAAATCTGATTTTACTTGTATTTGTTACTTAATTCGGAATTTGAACATGTGTAGAAATGTATGCAAACTACTTAAGACTCACCTTAAAGATGTTCCCATTGTTTAAAGAGATTCTGAAAGCCATAGTATTTTTCTGCGATGAAACTCTTACTGTTGTCAATGTGAGATTATAGTCAATACATATCATCTAGAATATGTGATCCTTTAAACCTAAACCCACTTGAATCTCTGATTATTGAAACCTGCTATTCAAAACTTTATGGGACTGTAATTTACTATTGTTTTGAGCTTTGATTACAGAGATAGTTGTCTGAATTATCATGAAGCCAGTAATAGAAAACAGCATGTGCTGTAGGCTGAAACTGCTAAAGGTGGATGTCTATGCCTGGGGAAAAGTTTCGGGGACAACCTCAGACATGACCTAGATAGGAACCCCCTGACTCTATTTCCCCATTTTGCAACTTTCTTTCTGAAAAGGAAAATTCCCCACCTAGCTAATTCTGAGCCCTGCTTTTAACATCTTGCAATTACGTGATTGACTGTCAGATATGACTCATGCCTGGAATCAGAGTTAAAGAAGTTTTTCCCCTCAGTTATGATATATGACATTGTTATAACTATACCTCTCTTTTTCCTTTTATAGCAAATTTCTATAATCAAGAAGTTCTGTAAGTACAATAGTAAGTCAATTAAATTATAGATAGGTACTGAAACATCTCTGAGTTAATTCACAATTTTAACCTGTATTTGTGATCAAATAATAATGTAGGGATGATATCCTCCTGAGGGGGAAATGATTAGATTTTCCCATTATTAAGTATCTGTCTGATCATTTTAAAAGGAAGAAGAGCTCATTTTATGGTTGGAGCCTTAAAATCTCAAAAAATTCTTATATTGGGTACAGGATTTAGGTAAGGATAGAAACAGCAAATGGTATTTAACTGAAATTCTCTGAAGTTTCAAAACTGAAGAATGAAATTTAAGTGATTGTACTAAATTATACTAAGAATTATCTAGAAACTTCTACATTTCAACAAGAGAAGCAGAACTCCTTTTAGAGCTATCCTGGGTATAAAACCTATTATCCAAGAAAAGATATTTGAGACCAGATAACTACATGAGGCATCTGGGATTCAAAAAGGTGCTGCTTCAGTGGACGTTGAGAATGGGTTACTGGTGTACATATAAATCTCCCTTCTCAGAATTAGTCTTTTGTAAGCCCTCTAAGTTGTTTGTTTTCTACCTGACTTCATGTTATTACACAATTGTGGGAACTGTGTGAACAACTATATTGCATTGTTTGAAGCTAGGCCTACATGACTGGGAAAGTGGACCATCTCTGCCTTTAACAAAGAACTTTTGTTATACTGACCAGAGACTCTGAACTAAAGATTGATACAAGGAGCTTTCTCTAAATTGTCAACTCAAATGTCTTCTAAGAGCCCCTACCAGGTCTTTCTGACTACTCCCACAGCTGCCAACTTGTGGGTATGGACTCCTGGATCATCCGAAGATGATCCCCACTCCCAAGTGGATATCTGAGCCCACAGGAGACTATGCCCTTTGGCTCCATAAGGGCCTGAAGAAGACAACAGCTGATGCAGCCAGCTTTCCCAAGACTACAGACCAGGCCTACAAGAGGAAGGACTCTCTCCCCACTTAAGCCCCCCTTTACAGATCCTTCCATGCTATACCATCATTTGCCTGTACCTTTAGGTTGCCCTATTTTTTGTTCTGGTTGCCTGGCTGTGTGATTTTTTTTTTACTCTGTTTTTCATTCCCCCTACCCAGGCTTCCTTTTAGTTCCTTCTTTGCTTGCTTTTGGTTGCTTTTCAAAGGGCTGCTAAAGCTCCCCTTTCCACTCCCTGAGGAAGAGTGAGGTTCCCCCCCCTTGCCTTCCTTGGTCTTCAGGTGGCACCTTTGGCACACCTTTGATCAAAAGGAGGGGAGATACAGAACCAGCTTGCATCCCCATCTCCTGAAAAAGTACAAAAACCTGGATTGTCCAATCAGAAAAGGACATTTTGGCCCACTCTGAATTAACATGTCATAAGGCTTTGCATGTTCTCTGAGTGAACCCCAAATTCTTACTGTGTCAGCAACCATGAGGCCTGATGAAGCTGACTAGGAGCATTCTCCTATTTGATATGATAAGGACCAGGCACCTTAAACCAGACTCTATCTTGATTAAAGGCATTCCTCACCATCTTACTATAACACTCTTATTTTATGACATCCTTGGGGTACCCTCTTTTTCCATGAAAACTATAATTTTGGCTGACACAGGCATCCTGAGTCAGGAAGGGAAGGGGGAGCCCTTCTTTGCTCTAAGGGTATATAGTCTCCTTCAATGGACCTTTCTTTGAGCTCCTTTCCAATGAACTCCCACTCGTGGGCACATGCATGTCTGCCTGCTTTGAGAGAAATAAATGTGCACATACAGCCTAATTTGGATTGTCTTTCTTAGAATGAACTCTGGCAGGTTGACAATTTTTATTGAACTTAAAAATTGAAATCCACGGTCTCTCTTCCAGCTGAACTAATCTCTTCTGCATTCCAAGATGCTCACTGCCCCCAAGTCCATGCTCATGCACAGTCCTTCCCACCTGGAATGTCCCTGTCCTTTTCATCCCAAGACTCAAACTTAACCCTTCCCAGACAGGCTTTTTTTCTTAGGAGAATGGTGTGAGACAGCCTCTGGCTAGAACAAAGGCAGAATAAGTTCCTGCACTCCCTCATCCCTCTCCAAGGAACCCTCCATGACACCAGGTGATATGCTCCCATATCGTGTTCATTGCTGACAAAGACCACACACCTCATGATCCACTGTCTTTATTTTAACTCCATCTGTTGCTCAAGGAGGGAGTCTCTAGGGTCTGTCTTGGCAGCCCCTCCATCTGTGCCAGTCCAAAAACAACAGTATCCCCAGGGTGAGGAGCACCAGTCCAGCCAGGCCTATTCGAATGAGGTTGCCTAGAGTATAGTCTTGGGGAGTAGAACCTGGAGGGACAGACAGGACTACTCAGATCAATGAGTTTAACTTAATCTGAACTAGGGAAGCTGAGAAGCTAGCTAGATAAATCCCTGAGGGGACATAGGCTGGGATAAGGAGAAGAGTGAATTCCTAGCTCTGTTTAATAACTTTTTTAAAAAAGAGAACATAGTATACCTGGATATTCAAAAAGTATTGTGAGCTAGAAAGGGTGACAGGTTCCCCAGAAAATTATAGGCTAGGATACCTGGCTATAGGAGTTGGGGAGGGGTAAGAGTAGATAGAGGTTAAGATGCCAAGATATGGAAAGAGGTCCAAGGCCAGGGGATGAGATGCTAGGATTCCTGAGAAGTTTATGGGACAGTACACTTGGCTTCATGACAGGGTTAGAAGGATACCACCCAAGTTCCTGGGTCCCCTCACCTGACCAGCTGATGATCAAAGGATCACTCCTCTCAGATAGGATGTATGGAGCAAAAGGTGTATGGTAGTAGCAGCTATAGGTGCCAGGGGCCATGGAGTCCTGAAGGGGAAAGTCAGCCCAGGGCTGGGCAGAGCTGAGGTACTGTAAGGGCCCTGGGAAACCCACACGATAAAGAGCAAAGCTCATTCCCCCTAGTGGACCCTGGCAACGCAGACTCACATTGCTGCCTGCTACCACCACAGGACCTGGCACTGCCACGAGCCAGGGCTTGGGTAACATGTCTGTAGAAGGAAAAAGAGAAAGCTCAGGCCCCCTGCCACTTTTGCCCCTCTGTTCCTGTGACACTCCAGCTCTGCACCCAGCACCCCCAGTTTGATTTTCTTTCACTTCAATGTCATGTCCCAATGTGAGGTAAGAGAAGAAAGGCCCTGACCCAGGAATCAGGAGACTGAAGCTCCAGGCCTAGCTCTGTCCCTGACCTGCTGGATGACTTCAGTCAAATGCCTTTCCCTCTCTTGGGACTCAATTTCTTCTACAAGGGGGTTACACTGGATCTCAAAGACTCTTTCCAATTTGAACATTCATGACTCCACTATTCCATGTATGTCTCTGTCTTAGACTCTGATACTTTTGCTGTCTTGCTGTTTTTCTGAGCCTCAATTTACCCATTAAACAGATGACAGGGTTGGGCTCTGTCTCTAAGGGCCCTTCCAATTCTGAATTTCTCATGATTTAATTAGTGACAGAAGCCCCTCTATATGTGAAACCCCTTCTTTCCCATATTAGTTCTTTAAAATACTTGGGAACATCAATTATTATCATCCTCCATCACCACAATCTCCACACACCTCTTCTGCACCCTACACCTTTCCCATACCTTCAACTGCTTCTCTTGTGGCTTGGTTTGCAGTCCTATCTGGTCACCTCCCTCTGGACATATCTCAGCTTGACTATGTCCATACTGAGATTGAAATGTGGGTCTTCTCATCCCCGGGCAGGTCAGAGCTCTTCCCTCCACCCCTCCTACAATATGGCCCCCCTCAGGCTAGACTCAATTTTCCATATGTGATCTGGCCAAGGCAAAAGTTCCATTTTCCTTTACAGTAAAATAGAGATGCGATCATTTACAAGGGTCCTTTCATATTCTGCCATTTCTCCTCCCTCCACTCATCTTTGTACTCTTACTAGGTCCCTGAATCTCCCTTCCCATTCCCCTGCCTCACCTGTCACCCATACCTCCAAGGAGTCACTTGGCTGAGACCAAGCATAGTAAGAGGCATAGGTCTGGTAGCAGCAGCTGTAACTGCCCCCATGAGAAGGGGTCACCCTTTCAAAGAAGAACTCAGCTCCCTCCTCTGAAGATTCCTGGATCTGGACTGGATGGGCCTCTCCCACTTTGTACAAGATGAATCTTGCAGCTGGAATTGACACTCTGCACCACAAAGTCATGTTCCCCCCTGGGGCCAATACAGGTCCTGGTCTAGCACTGAGGGTGGGTTTGAGGTAAGAGAGCTCTCCTAGGAAAGAAAAGAATTTGGATGAATGCCATCAGTGATCCCCAGTCCCTTAGGACTCAGAGAGCTTGGGTTTGGAGTGATGTGACCTCTTTACACCTCAATTTCCTTATTTGTAAAGTGGATAAATTGGAATCAATGATCTCTATGTCCCCTTTTTGTTCTGTCTATGATTTTTAGGGACTGAGTGTTGGGGAGGGAATAAGGATAGATTCCAATGGGATAAGGCCTAGAAATAGGGGACAGGATCCAGGCACAAGCTGAATGCCTGGTTCCTAAAAGGTTGAAGAGACCAAAAATAGGAAGGACTCAAGGGTAAGTAGGGAAGAGAGACAGGAGGAGGGCAGGATAAATGCAGTTACTCACCAGGTGGTGTGCCAGCCATGTGACCCATATGCCCTACAATGACGGTGAGTAGAGGTCAGCTCCCAATTTGCCTTCCATCAGATTGGACCCCTCATGGAGCCAGGCATCTGTTAGTCCCCACCCCCAAATGATCTAAGTGTCGATCTCACAACCTGAGACCCTGTAACGGATGTCTCTGGTGTCTGGGCCCTCAGCCCATGCTCCCTCACATGCCCAGATATCCATCCTTCCAACCCTCTAATTGGAGACCCAGCTATCCTAGTTCCTGCTTCCTTCACTCACTGGTGAGGAGTACAGGGGGCAGTAGGAATCAAGAGGAGGTCTGGGTGGACTCACAGAAGCACAGGAGCAAGAGAAGGGAGAAAAGCAGGTTCATGGTTGATGGCTGGAAATAGCTGAACAGACAGACGCAGCGTAGGCAGGGAAAGGCCCCTTGATGAACCCTCCCTTCCTATCCCCCAGGAAATGAGCCATTGGAAACACAGAGCCATAGCCTGGCCTGGCCCAGTTTTCCTATGGGCTGATGTCCTGGGAGCTTAGATATCATCTCATAAAACCCCCTCATTTTTCAAAGGAGGAACTTCAGCCCCAGAGAAGGGGAAAAACTTGCTCAAGGTTACACAAAGATAAGAAGGGGAAGAATCACAGCATTTCAGACTTACGAGGGACAACAGTGGCCATCTAGTCTGGTCCATACCTGAAAAAGACCTCTCTTTAGAATGGGCAAGAGGTCATCTAGCTTTTGCCAGAAGCCCACAAATGGGAGAAATCTATTGTTTCCTGAGAGATCCTTTCCATTTTGGGAAAGCTGACAAATGTAAGGAAATGTTCCTGATGACAAACCTCAGTTGGTCTCTTCACCGTCTGTATCCTGCTCTTAGTTCTGCTCCCTGGAGCCAAACAGAACAACATCTCTCCCACGTGCTCTCGGCTACTGGTTCAGAATCAGGATTGCAATGAAATGAGACATGTAGATCACAGAACAATTAACAAAAGGAAAGTTGCACAGTAATAGCAATTTCTCAGCTGTGCAGAGCTAAGTTCAAACAACACGATAAGGTTTTCTTCCAGTTCCCACAACTGAATCAGTTTTTCTCACAGGATAGAATTTCGACTAGACACATAATTGAATAGAAAGGGAACTGAGCTACCTCCAGAACTGAGTCACAAGATGAACTCACTCCTTTCTCACAATTAACCACTTGCTGTCCTAATCACTTTGATTCCCTCACATATACACAAATGCACATGCACATATGCAAACGTACACACACATAGTCATATAATAATGCACATACACTCACACATGACCGCAATGCACATATACACATTCACCCACAGACACATATCACCCACACACATGTGCACACGCATACACACACACTACAAAAATGATCCCCAGGAATACTCAAAATCCAAAGTCCCAGGCTTTGCATGGCATACCCCATAGAAGAACAGCTTCTGAGATCTTGGTGATTTTGTCCATGTGGTGGGGATGGATGATATGAGGGTCAGGTCCAAGGCATCTCAAGATAAAAAACAGTGATGATGAGCAGAAGTCTCACCAGGGACATCAGGGCCATGGTGCCAACAGTAACAAGAGTTTGTGGCATTTAGATAGCACTCCAGGGTTTGCAAAGAATATGATTTATATTGCCTCAAACTCAGGTCTTCCTGACTCCAAATCCAGCACTCTATACATTTCCTGGCATTTCCAGCACAATAGCATGTACTTATCACATTTAAGGATCATTTCTAAGATGGTCGTGGTGCTAAGAAAAGATGGTGCCCTTCCTTACAACCTAGACCAGGGCCTGATTTACTACCAAAATTAGCCTCATCCCATAATCCTTTTCATGATCTCTGACCAGAATTTCTCCCCACCCCTAAAAGTCCCAACATGGGATTCATGCTAAATCTTGGCCCCTTTACAAGTCTTTCTGAGGTACTGACCCCTTCTTCTATGAGAGCTAGATAAAGAATCTTCCTCATCTTCAATCAGAGACTCAGAATAGATACCAAGTTATCTAAGAAAATTTGAGATTCAAACACAAGACTCAAGAGAAGCACAAGAAATCATAAGGGACTTAATAAAGTTAAACTGTTTATATTCTTCTATAAGAAGATGATACAAACTCCTAAAAAATTTATCAGTATTTGAATAGAGTCAACAAAGACAAAGGACATGGATATGAGTCCATTATGTTGCAATGATCTAAAAAAAATGAAAAGGTGAAAAAGAGGGGTGCACTAGGAGAAGGGGGAGAAGAGAAGTAGAATAGTGAAAATTTTTCTCACATAAAAGATGTTTGCAAGGAAGAGCTTTTACAGTAGAGGGGAAGGTGGGGAGAGGGAGGAACAGGCAATGCTTGAACCTCATTCACATCTAAATTGGTTCAAAGAGGGAAAGCTATGTGTACACACTCAATTTAGTGTAGAAATCTAACTTATCCAACAAGGAAGTAGGAGGAAAAGGAGATAAGAGAAAGGGATTGGAAGTGACAAAAGAGAAGGTGGATAAAAGAGGGCAGTGGTCATAAGCAAAACAGACAAAAAAAGCAGGATCATTATCTCAGATGAAGCAAAAGCAAAAATAGACCTAATTAAAAGAGACAATCAGGAAAACTACATTTTGCTAAAAGGTATCATAGAGAATCAAGTAATAGCCAAAAAAAAACTTACAGCAAGTTACTTTGATAAAGTTCTCATTATTCGAATATATGGGAAAAAAAGATATAGGGAACTGAGTCAAATTTGTAAAACATGAGAGCCATTTTCCAATTGAAAAATGGTCAAAAACATGAACAAGCAGTTTTCACAAGAAGAAATCAAAGCTATCTATAGTCATTTGATTAGAGAGATGCAAATTAAAACAGCTCTGAGGTACCATCTCACACTTATCAGAAATGACAAATGATGGGGAGGATGAAAGAAAATAGGTACACTAATGAATTGCTGGTGGAGCTGGTACAACCATTCTGGAAAAGAACTTGAAACTATGTGCAAAGGACTATAAAACTGAATACACCTTGCTTTAGCAATACTACTACTAGGTCTGTACCTCAAAGAGATCAAAGAAAAAGGAAAAGGACCTATATGTACAAATATATTTTAGCAGTTCTATTTGTAGTGGCAAGGAATTGGAAATTGAGGGGACGCTCATCAAAGGGGGAATGGTTGAACATGTTATGGCATATGATTGTGATGAAGTAATATTGTGTGTAAGAAATAACAAAGTAGGGTGGTTTCAGAAAAACATGGGAAAACTTATATGAACAGAAGACATGTATACAAAAGGAAATAAGTAGAACCAAGAGATCATTATGTACAGTAATAGCAGTACTGTAATGCTGATCAACTGTGAAAGACTTACCTGCTCTCATCAATTGCTCCAAGTTCAATTCCAAAGGACTCATGATGAAAAAAATATTATCCACCTCAAGAGGGAGAACTGATGAACTTTGGGCACAGATTGAAGCATAATTTTCTTTTTTTTAATTGTATTTATTTTTAGTTTTCAATATTCCCTTCCACAAGATTTTGAGTTCCAAATTTTCTCCCCATCTTGTCCCTCTCCTCACCCCAAAATGGCATGTAATCTGAATTCCCCTAATCTGCCTTCCCTTCTATCTCTCCCCCCCCCTTCTCTTATCCCCTTCCCCTTCAATTTTCCTGTAGGGCAGGATAGATTTCTATACGCCATTTCCTGTATATCTTATTTCCCAGTTGCATGTGAAAACATTTTTTTAACTTTTGTTTTTAAAATTTTGGGTTTCAAATTTTCTTCCTTCCTCCCTCCCCATCCACCCTCATTGAGAAAGCAAGCAACTTGATACAGGTTATATAAGTGTAGTCATGCAAAACACTTCCACAGTAGTCATATTGTGAAAAACTAAGTATATTTCCCTTCATCCTATTCTGTCCCTGACTTATTCTATTCTTTCTTTTGACCCTGTCCCTCCTTAGAAGTGTTTGCTTCTGATTACCCCTTCCCCTAATCTGCCCTCCCCTCTATCATCCTTCTGCTGTCTTTTCCCCTACCCCCCTTATTTCCATACCCAATTGAGTATGTATGTTATTCTCTCCTTAAGCCAAATCTGATGAGAATAAGATTGACTCATTCCTTCTCACCTTCCATCCATTTCCTCTCCACTGTAAAAGCCTTTTCTTGTCTGTTTTATGTGAAATAATTTACCCCATTCTACCTCTCCCTTTCTCCTTCTCCCAATATAATCCTCTCTCAAACCCCTTAACTTTATTCTCCAGATATCACCCCTTCATTTTCAACTCACCCTGTGCCCTATATATATACATGTATATAAATATATATATATATATAGATAGACATACATGTAATTTTCCCTCCAACTACTCTAATACTGACAAAGAGTTACATGAGCTACAAAGAGACATGAATAACAAATATCATTTTTCCATGCAGAATGTAAACAGTTCAACCTTAATAAGTCTCTTATGTTTTCTCTTTCCTGTTTAGCTCTTCATGTTCCTCTTGAGTCTTGTATCTGAAAGTCAAATTTTCTATTTAGCTCTGGTCTTTTCATCAAGAATGCTTGAAAGTCCTCTATTTCACTGAATGTCCATTTTTTCCCCTGAAGGATTATGCTCAGTTTTTCTGGTAGGTGATTCTTGGCTATAATCCTATCTCCTTTGCCCTCTGGAATATAGTATTCCAAGCCATGCAGTCCCTTAATGTAGAAGCTGGTAAATGTTCTGTTATCCTGATTGTGTTTCCACAATACTTGAATTGTTTCTTTCTGGCTGCTTGCAATATTTTCTCCTTGACCTAGGAACTCTGGAATTTGGCTACAATATTCCTAGAAGTTTTCCTTCGGGGATCTCTTTCAGGAGGTAATTGGTGGATTCTTTCAATTTCTATTTTGCCCTTTGGTTCTGAAATATTGGGGCAGTTTTCCCTGATAATTTCTTGAAAGATGATATTTAGGCTCTTTTTTTGATCTTGGCTTTCAGATAGTGCAATAATTTTTAAATTCTCTCTTCTGGATCCATTTTCCAGGTCAGTTGTTTTTCCAATGAGATATTTCACATTGTTTTCTATTTTTTCATTCTTTTGAATTTGTTTTACAGTGTCTTGATTTCTCATAAAGTCACTAGCTTCCAATTGCTCCATTCTAATTTTTAAGGAAGTATTTTCTTCAGTAGTCTTTTGGACTTCCTTTTCCATTTGCCCAATTTTGTTTTTTAAGTAAGACATTCTTCTCCTCATTGGCTTTTTGGACCTCTTTTGCCATTTGGGTTAGGCTATTTTTTAAGGCGTTATTTTCTTCAGTATTTTTTGGGTCTCCTTTAGCAAGCTGTTGACTTGTTTTTCATGATTTTCTTGCATCACTCGCAGTTTTCCCTCT